CCCGGAGGGGAATGGGGGGGGGGGGGGGGGGACAGGCTGCCAATGCAGCACTTGGTACTTTGAGGGCCCTCTGACAGCACTCAGAGGAGAGGAGGCAAAAATCTCAGAAACAGGAAGGGCAGGAACTTGTACTATGCAGCATTTGTTTTCAACTGCAAACAGTGAATTTGGACTTTCCCCTTGCATTTTTTCCCCTAAAGGATGAGGTAAGTTTTCTAGATTCCATCTCTGCTAGCAAGGAATTTCTGTTCCTTCAAGATGATCTTTCTTGCTCTTTTCCATCTTAACTGCTTCTGCTTTTGCTTCTTCATCACAGTCCTGACCTGTCCCTCCCTCACCACCCATTCTGCTTTATTTTGTTCTCCTTTTCCTTCATAATTTGCATACATTTTTCCATGATTATTTCTCTCCTGCTATCTCCCTTCCCTATTTTACTCATCCTTCTTTTCTGCATGCTTCCATTTTTGGATTCTAAAAGCTTAATTGGCTGTCTCATGTGACTGGAAAACAAACCAAACAACCATGGGCAAGGGGAAGTTGGTTGCTGGTGTGCTAGCATGCTGTCCTGCCCGGCGTTGTAACTGAACACAGAGCAGCTGTGATTCTTGGGTGGGCAGAAAAGAAATGCCGGTTGCAATCTCTATGTGTTAGATCCCACGTCAAGCTAGAAATACAGAGTAAATTGATTGGAACATTCTCATCAGCACAATGTGTTCTGCAATGCCTGACTTTACAAGTGGGAGAGCCTTGTTTTTCACCATGCTTTCTGTTCTCACAAGCGAAGAGTTTTTCCCCATGGTATTCTCCCAGTTAATTAGCTCTCTCTACTCTCTAGGTTTGCTAGCAGATCAGAAGTGACCAGAAAACATCCTGTGGCTGTGGCAAAGAGAAGTAGCCACCCTCTTAACACTGACCTTCAAGTAAGTGGCAACAGCTGTCATTTTTCGTGGCACTTTTCAAAGGCAGCCCTTCACAGTGAGGTGAGCCCATGTGGGAAAGGCGTGCATGGCTGCTGTCAGACCCTAAGTACACTGAGAAGCTCCACAGGCTCTACTGCCACGGTGGGCCTTTGGCTGCCTTGTGCTTGTGGGCAGCCCTGGCACGGCCCAGCTGTCAGCACGGACCTTGGTGCTGGGAAGGGAGCCATGGGAAACCTTACCGGGGTTTTCTGTCCCTTGGCTTGAGAGCTGAATTTAGGTTCAGGCCCTTGTCCAAACTATGCTGTAGGTATGCCGATGCCTGGTTGCGTACCTCGCTGATCCTGGCTGATTTAAATTCCTGGCTTGACCTCGAACCTGTCTTGTCTCTATGGTCAGGCTTGGTGGTCCTTGGACTGTGGCTGACCCCTGTTGCTGTCACCAGCCGACCTGGCTCTCCTTGTTCGGGTGCCGTGGGGCTGTCAGTGATGGCCCTGCCTGCCTCGCCGCCACCCTTATCCCCAGCTTGCCTGCCCGGGTTGGAGCAGCCAAGCTTCTCCTTGCTGGCAAGGACTGCATGCAGTTCTCAGGGTGGGTGTGAAAAGCGGTTTCCTTCTTCTAGGGAAATGTGCTTTTTGGTACTCTTGCATAAATAATAATAGTGTTACCATCGAAACATGACGACGAAAGCTAATAAGCGTTCTGATTAGAAATAAGAAATAGAAAAGTGAAAGCATATTATTTTTGGCACCGTTCAAATGACATGCAATGCCTAATTCTCAGACTCATGCTCTATACTTTTATGAGTGATGTGACATCCCTTGTGCACTTAGACTTTAGGATATAGTAGTCTTGTTTCCTCCGGTTATCTTACTCAACAAGTTTCTGTCTCATTTGGGACCCATGACTTCTTACACAGAGACAGAAGGCATTCTAAAACAGGACGGATATGGTGCAACTTGAGCAGATTCACAGGAGCACCCAGATCAAACTGCTGGCTCTAAACCTGTTCTCATTTGTAAGAAAGAGGGAAGTCAGCTGCACATCTGGTGCCGCAGGACTCCTCTCAATTCAGATGACGTGGCTTGCTTCTGTCCCGGTAAAGAGGGAAAATAAACTCCTGTATCTAAACACTGTACATTTTCTGGAAAGGTCAGGTCAAAAGCATGCCTAGAAGGTTAGCTGTAGTCCTTAAAGCAAAAGTCAGGTTTCTGGATGCAATGGTCCCAGGTGTGGTGGGTTAATCCTGGCTGGCCGCCAGGTGCCCACCAAGCTGCTCTATCACCCCCCCTCCTCAGCGAGCAGTGCCAGCACTGCTCAGCAGTAGCCAAAACACTGGTGCACTTTCAGCACCTCTCTAGCGACAATCACAAAGCACAGCACTATGAGGGCTACTATGGGTGAAGTTAACTATGTCCCAGCTAAACCCAATACACCATGTTTTCTGAAAATAAAAAAAAAATGGTTTTGTTTATCCTGAAACTTTAAATGGCTTTTGAGTATTCAGGCAGTTTATTTGGAAACAGAAAAAGGGGGGTTGCTGAGCTTTTTGTGCGCCTCCCTAGTGAAGAATCTGTCCTCTTCAATGCAGGAAAAAGTGAGTTAGAACGTTCCTAGCCCTTCACATTGTGCCTTTGGCATTCTCTGTTTGCAGCATTTTACCTGTGTAAATTAAATTTGTCCTTGAACTTGAACCATGGTGATGTATCATAAGTTACAAGTTGAGATACTTCAAACCATTAGGATGTCAGACATGGCAACTTTGTATTAAAGATACATAGTTGAAAAATCTGATCTCTGGAATGGCTGCGCAGTAGCACAGCAGATTTCATTTCAGCGACGTCTCTTCAGTTTTACAAAGATAGTATCTCAGATCAGAATTCAGTCATCTGTCTGCTGAGAGGAACCAAAACCGTATTTGAATCTTAATGATTAAAGAATATTCCTAATGATGTTTGAAGAGCTGTTGTGATTTGTAATTATTCTGGCTTTTGAGTATGTGGCAAATAATTTAAAGCAGGCTTTTAAGTGGTTTCCTTAGCAACCACTCTTCATTAGAGATCGACGCATGCTATTAAGTATCATGCTGGGTTCGGATCAGCTTTGCAATATTAAAGACACTTGTTTAAAACACTGCCAGGTCACGTGCAGTTCCTCGCTGTCCAACAGCCCCAGAGCGCAGAGGCAAGCTCCCTGCCTGCCAGACTTTTTTCCAGACATGCAAGGACACACCTCTTGGTGTTGAGCTAGCATAGGCGCCCCGATGGGTGGAGGAGCTGGCCCCACTCACTATTGGCTGGTCGCTCATACAGCGACTGTGAGGAATGGGGGGTTTATTTTGGATTCATCTACCCCTCCGCCCCCTGCCCCAAGAAAATGCTAGTGACTTGCGATTGCTTTTTAAAGAGGTATCAAGCACAGCTCTTAACCAAGCACAGCTCGTATTTGTCGTTTGTTTTTTGGTTTTTTTTTTTCTTGTCTTTTATCTCAAGTGTCTGGGGCATTAGATAATTTGTCCTTTGTTCCCATATTCAGTGTTTATGATCAACAGGAATGTAAAGCCGTTAGCAGGGTTGATGATGGAGAATCCAGGAGGTGTCATTAATATAAAGAAGCACCTTTTCTGCTCTCCTCCAAAGCTTTACAGTTATTCTGATTTAGATTGCCTTCCCTATTTGCTATGGACATCTGGGATTTAAGGCAGCTTTAGCAGAACTGATCTGAGAATCTGAAAGAAAATAAATGCTGCTAAGGGAAAATGTCTGTCTTTAACAGTGATCCTAAAGGAGAGCATTTGCCTGCCATTTGTCATCAGCCCAGGGAGAGCCTGATCAGATGCCCCAGCAGCACTGGGGTCTCTGGGGGCAGACGACTTTCTGTTTCTGGCTGGAAGGTCAGAGCTTGTTTCTGTTGCCATAGAGTAAGAAGGAGTAAGAGTCATTTTCTCCTGATGCCTTCTCACTTTGTGCCTTTGTTACCTTGGGATTTGGCTGCTGCAAAACTTCCATGTGAGGCTTCTCTCTAAAATGGTTCAGAGGCATGGAGGCAGACTTGGCGTAGCATGTGGAAGCTGCCCACCACTGTGCCCTCAGCACGTACAGTGCTGAGTACAGGTTCTTTCACTCCACCCTGGCACCCAGGAGGTTTGGGTTTCTCTGTGCAATGGGAAATGCCAGGTCCTACTGATAGATTCCTAAATTAATTAATCAGGATGTTGCTTTCAGAGGCAGGCAGCTTCTCTGGCTTCTGTGCCTGAGCTAAAATTGGAGCAGGTATTCAAGAGGGAAGAAGAGGGACTGCCAGTGCCCATGTCTCTGACAGTCACTGCATTGTTGGTCTGAAATAGCCTGTGTCTGCTGACCTTCAGAGCCGGGCTGTGCTGGCCTTTTTTGGGTGACTTGGAAAATAGGATGGTAAAGCGAGGTAATCCCTGACAAGCATTCTTTAAGAGTAAGAGTATTCTGATACTTGTGTTTCTTTGGGTAAGCCTGCTGTGTAGGAATATATTCTTGCTTAGCCATGCTTTTCTTTCTGTAACTCTCAAGAGAAAGGCTCTTCTAGAACTTAACGCTGAAAAGGAGAGTGCTTTTTGACAGTGGTCGCTACTTCGTATTTGTGGTTTTGAAGGCAGAAATCAGCAGAAATTTCTGAAGGTAGAAATCATGCAGAAGTCAGCTCATGTGTAACCCTGTCGGTGGCATTATTGTACTTAACAACAGTTTTTATTTCCTGTTGATGCTGGACTCATCTTTTCTTAGTTGTTGTTAATAGAAACACTGCCTGCTATTACGGAAGGGTTACTACTTCATCCTAAGAGCAAATAGGAAGAACAGGATAATAGGCATTCAGCGTAATAAATCCGTGTCTCTTCTGTAAGACAAAAACTGAGGCAATATTGAAGTTAAAATGCATGTTTGTAAAAATCCAAAAAGGACAGGACCCACATGCAAAATGAAATCCTGTAGCATCATTTTGTAACGTAGATGATTTCATGAAATCTTGCGTTTACAAGTGAACCTGTCAGCTTATAGGGTCTGACCCAAAGCATATGGAAACTTCTGAGAATCCCCATGTTGACTTAGCGTGGCCTGCATTGGGTCCACAGGAAGATGGATGTGTTCAAAATCACATCCAGCATTGAATGAAAGCTTCAGCAGTGTGTAATCTTTGTTTGGTTTTGGCATGGGAGCATCACATAGAAATACCATGTGCAAGCAACGTACCGCTGCATTCAATGTGTGATCTTTGCCTACTTTGCCCTCTGCCTTCTGTGTGGGCCCATTACAGTTAGTGGGAATCTGGGGTGCAGCGTAGTTGCTGTGATTCTGCACTTGCAAGCTATCTGCTGCTGACATCTTCTGCCATTTTTTGTTATTTTAAAACTTGGATCAGTTTAGTGCATGAATTGGATGAGTATCCACAAACAGGGGGGGATGATAGGGTGGACATTAGGGATAAATGGCTGGATGCTGCACATGGAGTAAGGATGCTGAGAACAACCAGAACTGAGTCTACTGCTGAGACAATATTTATGGGGAATCACACTTTTTACTGATTAAGATGCATAAGCTGGTTATTTTGTCAGTTCACTTGCAATGATGACCTCTTCTAGGATATCAGAGGGGTGATGTATTAAGTTAAAGCTCTTCCAGAGAGATGACCCAAGCCTGTGGCTGAGTCCTTGCTTTACTTCATAGTCATGGCTTTATTTCCACTTCTCATGTGGAAAGTGGGGGCAAGGAGACTTCTCAGCATCGGTGGGAGTGTTGCAAGGGTGATCACAGGAGCAGTTATGATGAGTTCAGCAGAGGCTGGACTAGCTCCTGGCCTAGCTGTCAAGGTGGGTACTGGTCCATGAGCAGCATAAGGCTGAGCAGCCAACTCGTTACTGCATCATTGCGTGCAACTGTATATTGTCAGCCTTGTGCATAGCTAACATGAAGCTTTGCAGAAATGTGAGGGTACCTTCTTCGCCACTGTTGGTTTTCTTCAAGACTGAGGAGGATTATAGGAGTGCCCTGTCTAATGTATACGGCTGCCCTCTGTTTGCGCTGCCTGGAGCACCAACATTTGGGTTGATCCTTCCCTGGTGCCCACTGACACAAAACGGTCCCAGCCTTCTCCAGCTGCAGCCAGAGAGACAACCCATTCCTGTTAGAAAGGCATAATGTCACATGGAATAAACTGACAAAAAAGAGCAGCTCTCATCCTGATGGATGACAGTGAGCAGGCATTAGCTTGGGATTTATTCCGTGTGGCCTTCTGTGCAGCGCTGAAGACGATGGTCTTCCAGGTGTCATGGTAATTGTGGTCGTAAGTAACAATGATTGTTTATGGGCAAATAAATTCCTGAAAATGTTCTGAAGCTGGAAGGATTTGCTGATGGCTAGGCCAAGTCATCAAGCCCAATGCAGTTAGTTACTTTTCTATGGAAACATTTCACTGTTTTCAGAAGATCAGTTTTGTCTTCAAAAATGCATCTTCAGCTTCAGGTTCAAATCCCCCACTGATGCAAAAGAGCACACAGTTCAACTGAAATCAACAGGACTCCATCCCCTTACCTCAGCAGTAAATTAATCCTGCTTCTGCTGTTTCACCTGAACTCTTCAGCACAAAGAAACAAATGATATTGTCAGCATTTGAAGGAAAAGGCCTGTTTAGTTTTCAGGGCAACACAATACAGGGAGAGTAAAGAGACAATATTTGTCTTTAGCTTTGTTCAAAGAGTGTAGGTGCCATGGTTACACTGTTAAATGCCACACTGTGCTTACTCCACTTGCATCTGTTCACCTGAGCAGGATTAATTATCTAGGATGATATTTAGGAATATTATTTGAATATTTTCAATACTAAATGGAGGGTTATTCAGAAGCCAGTTTTGAAAAGAGTTGCACATACGATAGTAAGTACCGATGAAAACAAAAATGAAGAATGTCTCCTTAATTCACGGTAAAAGTGACTTTAAAACCTGGAGCTAAGCCGGTAAGACAAAAACAATATCCTATTAAGTGGGAAGCTCAAAAAGGATTAGAGGAGTTAATTACAAAATTTTTAGACTATGGGCTACTGGTAGAATGTGAATCAGAATATAACACTCCTATATTGCCAGTAAGGAAGTCTGGAGGCAAGGAATATCGATTATTTCAGGATTTAAGGGCCATAAATCAAATAGTTCAAGATATACACCCAGTAGCGGCTAATCCATACACTTTACTGACCTCTTTAAAGGAGGAACACAAATGGTTTACTGTGCTAGATTTAAAGGATGCCTTCTTTTGCATACCTCTGGATAGAAAGAGCCAAAGCATATTTGCTTTTGAATGGGAAAGTCCCACCACAGGACAAAAAGCACAACTCACACGGACTGTATTTCCACAAGGATTTAAAAATAGCCCTACGATATTTGGGAATCAGTTGGCAAAAGAACTAGAGATATGGAAAAAAGAGAGAGAAAAAAAACACGCTCAAGAGACAAGACGTGGCAGAGCTTACCTGTTTTTTGCATCTAACTAAGGGAATGCTAATTTCAAGAAGGTAAGCACATCCTGATTCAGTCTGTCACCTATTGTATTCTAAATCTGGGCAAGCCTGGCTCAGATGTAGTCTTGTGTGAATACCGAAACGCTGGAGATTATTCGATTGTTTGGGAAAACCTGGGTAAATAGAAGTGCTCCTTCACGGGTTCTCACAGGTCCTAACTCCACGCACCTTGGGTCTCTGCTCCTGGAGACCCTTGTGAGCTGTTTGGCCAATTCTGTCTTCACCTTCCAAGTGAGTAATTTTGTGCATCTGCATCTGCACATGATTATGTTACCTCTCTCATTTGGGGTTTCAGATTGCCCCTAGCCTGTATTTAAGACCTCATCTTTTTCTACACCACTGTGAAACAACTGTTTTTCTAATATGGCTTGATCCGTGTATTGAAATAAGCAAAAACATGTTTTATGCTTGCTACCACAAGTAAGAAAATGCATTAATGGGTTGGCCCGCATTCAGGTAAGATCTTGGAGAGGTGCAGGACGTACGGAAGTGCAACCATTCTTTAGCAGTACTGTCAGGCACATCCAGTGTATCTTGTTCAACTATAAGTACAGTGCTTTTATTTACTGCTTAAGTCCACAAGCCATGATGCTTCTTCAGCAATGTACTTCCACAGGGAATTAACGACACTCAGTAACTCCTGGGGTTTTTCCAGAACTTTCTTTTTTGGGGGGGTAGGGGGAGTCATCTCATAGCAATAAAATCAATGGGAATTTTCTTATTGATACCAGTAACATTTTTACGATAGAACAGAACCAGCCAAGATGCTCCATGAAAGTACATTTAACTTCGGTTAAATCTCCCCCTTCTCTGGCCCCATTTCCTTCCTCCCTGCAATCATCATGCTCCGGCTCTGGTTGGGCAGAGTTCCCTCTTGCACAGAGCAGAGTGCACTGCGGTTGCGCCCTGCCATCACCACCGCTCTTTGAGGATTTACAAGGTCTGTTTTTAAACTCCCTTGCAACAAGCAGAAACTTGTACACATGCCGCTTCTGTCTTAACAGCTGTCAATCCTAAATCACAGCGTGCCCAGTGAATGAGATGCTAGGGTGCATCTTTTCCAATATGCTGCTTTAGGTCTGAGCTGAAACTGCAGAGCCGGAGCAAAGGATCCTTTCTGCATGCTGCAGCGTCCCTAAGCAGACTCTGGGCAGTTGAGAAGGAGACCCGGCCGTTCCCCAAGACCTCTCTGCAGGGACTGATAACCAGTACCCCAGGCACACAGGAGACATGGACCCTGGCCTCTTCATTTCAGGGGAGCCAAGACCAGAAGACCAGCAGAAGACCACCATTAATACCCTATTCAAGGTATGTTGAGTTGTCTGCTGTTTCTGTCAGATTTGTACCTCCTCTTCTCTGCAGGCACCTCTTGTCTCTTTGTGCTTGGCCTCTGCACTGTCTGAGGCCTCCACTTACCCCTGCAGCCACAGTGTACCTGTTTCTGAATTCAGTATATTATTGTGGGAGCCTCTGGAAAAGCAGCACTTTTAGACTGTCTTTTAACTAACTCATTTTAAGTGGCAAGTTATTAAACGTTGGTTATCACCTGTTGATCACATAGGAATACTTGACCTTTGCACAAACTACATTCCAAATATTTGACAGAGCATATGAAATATTATCCTTATTTCTTACTGGAATTTTTAAAACATCTGACTAGAAACAACATAAGGGAGATGGAAATTAACAGGACTCCCGCGTGACGTGCACAGTAAAATGTCACTTAATATAGACAGTATGATACCATCTTTTTTCAATGAATGCTTTGATGTTGTAAGGCTGGAAAAAAGACAAGGCAGAGTGCCTGGTACAACACAATATACAGCAACAGCAGCAAATTTAATTTGTTTGTCTCAAAGGGCAAGGTAATGCACTTAAGTAATTCTGTAGTGCAGCAAAGTTGAATTTCACAGACCTCAGTCTATGACAGTAAGAGATCAAGACATGAGACACCTGTTGCAGATGGCCCAGCTCCTTGTTGGGCACTTTCCCAATGTGTATAAATCAGAGGGGGGGGGTGGGTATCAGTTACAGGTGGACAATCCAGCTGATAGGACAGACCTTCAGATGCTTCAAAGGCAAATGCAATGAGTAGCTTAACAGATCTGGTAGCTTTATGTCTGTGCGTACATCTACGTAATAATATGAAACAGATTCAAGTGAATATAATATCCAACCAATGAAAGCACAAGCAGCTTCAACAAATGTTCGCAATATTATTTTCAGGATTTTAAGACTCATCCATACACCTGAATTTAATTTCTGACTTACTCTGGCAAATCTAGAAGAGCATATTCCATAAAGATCCAATGTTAGTAAACTGTAGAAAAGAAAGAGGAAAACATAACCTCCAGCAGCATTTTATGATGATGATTTGTAATTGGTGTTTTGATTTATACCTCAATAGAGATTTAATTGCCTGACACCAAGAAAACCTGCCTGTCATGCTGTGCAGGTGTTTATCTGGAATGACTAGATTGCTGTGGAGATTTTCAGGTAACTTACCTACTTAGTTTTATTTGCAGGCGTGATGGGTGAAGACATTGCCTTTTGGTCCTTACATGGTGTCTCTTCTAGGGTGCTAAAGGAGAGTAGGCTTGGTTAGGAAATTGTGGTTAGGGGACCTCCTTACACCTTCTTCTCAAGAATTGGGGCCTTTCATAGAACCAGGCGTAGAATTACGAATGCAGGACCACGGAGGCATCAAGTCAGCTTTTCATCACATGCCTCCCTACCTGTTCAGCAAGTGCTGCCTGGCTAGTCTGAAGGCTGGTCCAGTCATTGGCACTTCACCAAAATGAGACTGCCGGCTTCACCTGCAGTCTGAGGGCAAAGCAGTGCTTACAAGCCACCTCTTTAAAAGTGCTGCAATCAAAATCGCAGTTTATGGGAAGTATTTTATGGGAAGACTGTTGGAAGACAGAAGTGCCTTAACAAGGAGGAAAGCAAAAACCACCCAAAGGCCAGACTAAGGGGTATCTGAGTATCTGCAGCTCATACACACCTTGGGCAAAAGCAAAAGCTGGAGGTGAGGTGGCAGATGCGCTGCAAACTTATTCTAATGTCCTTTCCCTGAATCATCACATGGGCAACAATCTGTCTCCTCACAGAGCTCTCCTCCCTTGTCCCCCTGGCTGTACAGGGGAGTCATCGCCTGCTCCATTGGAAACACAGTATTTTTGTAAATGCATTACTGACAAAATTGCTTTTGTGCCTTGCTTCTAGTCATCAGGACCAGCTCTGAAAACAGCAGTTCTTCTAAGACATGTCCACTCATCTGCCTTCGTGTTCCCAGCGAGAATCCAAAGGGCACATTAAATATAACCTCAGACTCTGGTACAGAAATAAATCATGTAACATGACCTGCGTGTCAGTTAAATAAGTCCCACTGCAATTTCTATTGCACTGATTCGTATTAGAAAGTATTTTCCTTTTATTGAAAAGATTCTACCAATGCAAACTCCATGAAGAAAAAGAGCACAAAGCACAAGTGCTGACCAAGTCCTGCTGAGACTCTCTGCAGCCTGTGGGTGACAGATGAGATCTTTGCTGTTGTGTCCCATGCCTTGCCAGGGCTGTGGTTCCCCCCTGCCCCCAGCAGCTCCCGTCGGCATCAGCTATACAGTGCCACAGGAGCCAATGGTTGGAAACCATTATTTTTAAATTTTTAAATTCCCTGCTCCAATTTGGTCTCTGAGGGAAACCCCTAGGGTGCTGCTAGAGTACTGCTGCCCACAGGCAGGAGTAGTTCGGGTATCTGGGTTCAATGGGAATCCCACTCTCAGACAACTCTGCCTCAGAAAACCTGTGCCTCAGGTCTCCATCTGTGCAAGGGCAATCATTAGACTTTGCTGCTGCCCCAAGCAAGGTGGCTTCACCAGAGACTGGAAGAAGCAGAGATATTCCTGTCCACTGGGGCACCCAAATACAGTAGGTGGGCCACTTCACACTGCCCATCCTGGGACGCACTCAAGCCTGTCCTACGGGGACAGAGAGACCAAGTGAGGTAGCAGAACACTTGAGGTCTGCACAAGGCTTGCTGAGAACTGGGTGAGCCAAGTCCAAAAGAGATCCCTCAGAAAGCAGCATACAGACCCAAGGGAGTCAAGAGACTGCCTGTTCATTCTTCCCTGCATGAGCCGATTTCTTTGAGGCACTCAAACATGTGTTTAGTTCCTTGGGTTTCCTGTGCAAAGGGAAGACGTCTGGCATTCGCTGACACTGCTGGCTGCTCCTTCACCGAACCAGGATTCATTTAATAATCAGTTTTGCAAGCCTGGGGGGAAGCGGTATTATGCATTCACCTCCTCCTGCTGCTTTTCAGGTGCGTCAGAAGGATCCCTGACATTCAGCAGCAGTGCTTTTTGGTGGCACCAGAGCCTTGGACCACTGCCTGGGTAAGTGCCAGCCCAGCCAGGGAGCCGTTTGCCTTTGGGTTTGGGTTCTCATAGAAGATGATTACTTGTCTAGTGCTTGAAACAGAGATTCGTCTCTGGGCTATTTTGATGTAAATGTTTGACTTCATAGAAGTCCAGTATTGTTCTCCTCCTTTGGAGCAGCGGGAGGTGGTGCCAGTCCTCCCACAATTTCTCCTCAGCATAGTTGCCTGCTGCAAAACCACAAGAGGGGAAAGTCTGTAACTTGCGGTATTTCTGCTCCAGCTCTTAAAGCAGGAAATACTCAAACTCATTAAAAAATGTTACAGAGGTAAAACTATCTAGCTCATAGGCCCTTTCATTTCCTACTCTAGTAACTTGGATTCTTTCTTTTTCTTTTCTTTTTTTTTTTTTTAAAAGCTAACACCACTAGGTGATCACTTGCAAATTTTTGCATTTTCATGGAACATGCATGCAAAAAGCCTAGCTGACGATAATTTCTGCCAAAAGATTTGAAATAAAATCTTGGCTTTGGTAGTAAACTAGCATTTTCTGGCACTTTGTAAAAATCCCAAATGTTTAAAAAGTCACAGAATCCATTATTCCTGTAACAAACCCTAAGGGACTGCTAATCATAGCAGTAATGAGGTTTTAATACTAAAATTTCTCTGGCAGAGAAGGCTGGGAAGGAAGGAAGGGGTATGTTACCGACTGTGTGCTGAGATGGTGCACTGCGTTATGCGCTCCCAAGATTCTCACTTGTTTTTTCTTTCACAACTTAGAGGTGTGTGCCAGCTTTTCTCTGCCTCTTCAGAGAGAAATTGGATGTCTTTTTCAAAGAGACATTTTAATCGGATGAAAATTAGTGGACTCACTACAGGGGGCAAATAGTTCAAACCTGTGGCCTGTATCATGCAGGCTTTTTGGGTCCACATTGAGTAACACATGGTTAGCCGGAGAGGGAGCCTGTTTCCTGGTCCAACAGTGGCTTCAGTTGAACTGCAACTTGGTAACAAAGGAGGAAAGCCAGCACTCACAGCACTTGCCATGCCCTTAGCCCTTACGCCTCCTAGGTAGGAAACTTACTCCTGGTCTGTATGTCTTGCTGTCTTTTCCACGTGAGGTCGCATGCCCTGCATTATGCCAAACAAACAGCTCAGTGCTGTGCCATGCCCTCCATGGCGAAAAGTACTGCCTTCTGGCTAGAGACGCAAACTACTGTGCTGGGAAGTGGCATGCTGATGTTGAGTCGAGCAGCCCTTCCAGCATTACAAAGCCTTGTTGGGCAAATAAACATTAGTTGAGCTGCCAATAAAAAAAAAATTTCTTGTCCCGCATGGGCTCTGGACTCCCGGGCCAGCAGCCTGGAGCTTCCCTGATAAAGCCTCCGTGACTGATGTAGGCTGACGGCACATGGTCATGAAACAGACCTGCTGAGAAAGGGGAGGGTTGTGCACCAGCCGATGGTTGCTGCCTGGATCACACCCATCCTGGAGAAAAAAGTCCAGGAGAAAGACATGCTGATGCCATCACACCTCCAGATGAAAGTCCCCATACAGGTGGACTGGGCTAGGTCTTCACTTTGTGACTAAAGAGATGTCCTGGCCTGAAGAAATGAGGCGTTTCTCTCCATACAGATGTGCTGAGGTGGAATGTTAGGGGTCATCAATACACACATACCAGCCATCTTTGTTTTAAGAATATCAAGTAGTACTGGTACCTACCACCTGTAGTTATTTTCCATATTTTTCTTTTTTATTAGGTTGAAAAAGGTTTCCTTCTCTGGACTGCAGGCCCAAAGCTACCCTCACAGGCATGAGGAGGATGGAATACCGTGCCAACCCCTGGAGATGTATGTTTGACCCAGAAGCAGAGATCCCTGGGTGCGATAGCACCCAGTACCAGCAAGTACCGGTGTAAGGAGAG